ATTTAGGATAATCCTCTGAACTAGGATAATCATTGTCTACCCCGAGTCAATCCAACGATACACAATCCAACTCATTCTCATTAATTCAACACCATAACCCACACATCCCCATGATACACCCAGGCACTCACGCGGTTATTACTCAAGCGCAAGACATGTCCAGATCTTTCTTACGAATCACATCGTACATTATCTAGACCCTTGCATCACACTTAGTTGTGACCTTCTTTTCACAACAAGTTCCACGATACTCAAGCAATTATAAGTTGCAGATAAGTCCAAATTCTTTAATTAGTTCGTTCCATAAACGATTGTTACTGATCATTTATGCCTTATACGACCCATAAGGCCAGATACCAATTGGAACCTTCTCAGTTCCAATTAACTTAATTATATCCCTTCAGTCGTGACTACGACGTCTAGTTCACTTCGTTGAGATACCAATTGGAATTGGAGATACCAATTGGACTCAACTCATACCACAAACGATAATAGTAGCTAGTGAACCCCACAAAACTGCTAATTTCAATTATAGAACTTGGTCAAACCCAATTCTTAACCGCATCAATCTTTAACTAATGGTAACCAGACCTTAAATCAATCTTAGAGAAACCCGATGCACTTTGCAATTGGTCAAAAAGGTCATTTATCCAAGGCAATGGATACTTGTTCTGAATGGTGACCCTATTCAAATGTCGGTAGTGTATACATATCCTCTCTTGCTAGTGATAGTGTTACCACTTTTGTTGCTCTAGTTCAGACCATAGAGTGGAGGAGGAAAGATACCAATGTGTATCACCCAGATACCAATTGGATTCAAGTCATAGCATGAAGGAGTAGAAAGAAGTGAGTTTTTCCTAAAGTCCTATAGCTCTCGAAGAAAAGTACTGACGTCATCGTACTGTTTCGTAAGACTCTACTAAACTCGTTTTGGTACAATGAGATCAACGAACCTAGGGCTCTGATACCAACTTTGTCATAACCCAGACCGTCGTAATTGGCACCCACACTAAACCTCATGTGGGAGAACCATTACTACAACCCATACTAAACAACTTAACCAAAAACTACGCATTTAAAGATACGGAAGCATGTTTAAATGACAATAAAAATGGAGTCCCCATAAACTCCAAAGGTTTAAACAATTAACTAACCAAACTAATGCGGAAATTCAACCCTTAGAACCTGAAAGTCATTGTACCAAAACTCTACTAACGACAAGTCTAAAAACAGGGAGTACAACCCCGAAACTAAACAAAACACCTTAAACAAATAGTCTAAGTCCGAAAAGGGTGGACTTAAACAAGAAAGATCCATGACAGCATGAAAGAACTGGCTCACCCTTGAATCCGGTCACACTCAATAGTCACCTAGCTGAGGTTTATCAATAGCCGCCTGAAGATGCCTTGTACTCAATAAAGAACAAACAAATGCAATATCAGTACACAACCACAGTGTACTGGTAGGATCACGCGGCTAACCCAATAAGTGAAACACATACAAGTAACCACAATCATTATAAAACATGCATATACCAAACATATACAGTATTAGTCAACTATTACGAATAACGAACATTTTCACGATTCTCACATATCACAGTTATATCAATTTAGAGCAACATATAGTCTTCCAATATCAATCATCATTAGAACGAAATCATCACAAGTAGATACACAACACAATTCAATAGTTCTCTCACAGAACCCAATTCAATGGTCCTCTCATGAAACCCACACCCAAATTGTTAGTGTACCAGTTCGTGGTACCCGATCCAATGTTTATGCCTGAATGTGGCAACCAATCCCATAATTATGTCGGACCGTGGCAATCGATCCCATATTTATGCCGGAACGTGGCAACTGATCCAAGTTAGTGTGTCAGAACGTAACACCCAATCCATTCAACAAACCATAATCACAATCACAATGTATATTCTCACAATCATACAACAAGAGGTGATTCATGGCATACAATTATTCAATTATCCTCATTTACGATTAGGGTGATCAATAATGCAACATTCGCATACATACATGCATTATAATGAGCAATTACAAACATATATCACACCAACATGAAATCATAACCATCACTTACCTCGAATCCAAGCTTGAATCCCCTAAGGCACTTGAATCTTCCCTTTTTGGAGTCTTTCCGCTTGTTCTAGGTCTACAAATAATTAATATACGCAAGGATCAACAATCAAAGGTCTAATTATCCGGATTATAACAAACCCAATAACTCTAGACCAACCCAAGATCCTAATACCCAGATTAGGGTTTTTTCCACCATAATTTCCAAATTGAAACCCTCCCCCATCAATAATCACCCACGAATTTACATTCTACGGATCGAAAAATAGATTCGGGGAGTTAAAACCTTACCTTTAGCCACAAGAATGGTGGAAAACTATCAAGAAAGCACCTGGGGTCATCTCCTAGCTCTCAAAGTCGAAACTTGCAGAATAAAATAATTTTGGGGTTTATTTCCTACTTAAATCGCGATTGTCCCGCTATGGCGGCCCCCAGCCCACCACCTCGGCCCCGCCCTGGCGGGAGTAATCCTGCCACAACGGCTTGCATGGAAACAGAATGTCGAATTAAGAGCTCCAAACCCCCATTTCACAACACACTTTCATCCCACGACACTCAGAAAACACCCGTTCACGCTAAGATCAATTTTGGGAGTTCTACTCGCCCGAATTCATTTTCGTAAAGTCGTACGGGTTCCTTAACGTCTTAGCTATCCACTCATGCAATCAATTTCATTATTACACTTCTCATTCATTACCAGATTTTCTTATACTCGCCTGACTCCGATTTCGTCCAAATCTGGACTAGGCTAGGAAATTTCAAGTTACTACTCAAAAGTTTTTCTGGTCCAATTCTTTTCCCAATGGCTTTTCCCTAACGATGGAATAAGACCGTTACAGAAACCCAACCTTTGGACTAGAGATCCTATAACTAGGTTTAATAAAAAATGTCATGTATATGATGACTTGTTGTGAAATGCATGCACTATAGATTTATTTTATTCTCTCTTTATGATGTGAGTGTTTTTATTTTGTAATGATTTATGGAGGTTGAGTTTAAGAACTCTTAATAAAAGTTTGTACCTCGTACGAGTGGGATGTCATAATTATAGGAGCACTCTTGACAAATATCACCTATGTGAGTGTGGAAGTAGACCGCTTCCTATGAGAATTGGACTTATCCTCAAACATACTTATGAAAATCGAGATAACACAAGGTTGTAATGTGCTGGCTAAAAAGGCTTATGTCAATACCTTGATTATTGTGTGTAAACATTGATAATTTATTTTTCTTAAGCAGTCTTAGTTCAAATCTGAGACCACTAGACTATGGAGTAAAGGTTAATATTTTAGTAAGTGAAGATTTAATGCAAAGTACACATTCATTATGCATAATAATATCTCTCTAATTAAATTGGTGAAACTCTATTTTCTTAATATTAAAATGAGTGGGAGAATGTTGGAGCATAACATTTTAATATTAAAGTGCATATTTTAGTTCTATAAATTGACAAGAATGTGGTCAATTATTTTTATATAACATATAGGTCATTCATTTACCTAATTTACTACCCCATAATCTTCTTATTCATTGCAAGTAAGAATTCATCACCTATAAATAGTGATGATTTGTCATCGCATTGTATATAAGAATATATATAGGAAAAAAGATGAGAAGTGGATGAGACTAATTATATTATTAGTGTAGTGAAAGAGAGAATTAAGACAAAATATCTTTTTAAGTCTTCAACTAATTCACTATATACAAAAGAGTAATTTTATTTTGAAAAAATGTATTCAAATAATGGAACTTTGGAGTACTCTTCAACTAATCCGGAGTTGTTTAGGTTATACGGCGTTGTTGAACTATTGTAAAATGGAGGGAGCAAGTTAAGAGAGATATAATGTTGGATCAATGCAGATTATTTCATAGTGAACTTGAATCTCCTTCACTAAAAAGAGCGAGATAGCTATATCTCAACTTAAATACTTTTTTGTTAATCTTTATTATTTTGTTTTTCAACGATAATTTACTTTAATCAATGGTACTATATATACACCACAGCAACATGTTATATTTACCTTTTCATTTCAAATGTTAAAGAATACGATTTGATATAATTGTTGCTACTTTATACAAATGTTGGCTGCATTGATTTTTATAAACTCTTTGTTAAAATTCGAGAGGAGAAAGTCAATGACATGAGTATCGTGACAGTATACATGGTCACCAATATGAGTTGTGGTGCGGTAGTGAGACTACTCCATTCTTAATCAGAAGTTTCGGGTTCGAGTCTTGAGTATGAAAAAAATCATGTTGGAAGCGATACCCCTGAATGAACCATACAGTGCGCAATCTGAATTTAATCAGGACTCCAATGTGAATTCCTGACAAAAAAAAAAGACAGTATGCACAACCCTCTTCTGCGGTTCTGCCCCCCATGTTTTCTATTTTTCATATTTTAGAATAAGATGGAACACGTTTTTTATTTTCTTTAGTAAATAATTATTCCAAAGAGTTCAGTTCTATTCCTTGGATTAGAGGCATCATAAAACTTAACCCACTCGGTTAATTCATATTTTATCTATGGATTTCTATATTTTTATGGATATAAATTCATATTCATCTATTTAAAAAATCATTTCACCTAATCCACTAAAATATGAGTGAGTTGAATAGATCATCAAAATATGAACTCATTTTGCCGAACGTACTACTAATACATTTGAGAGTATGGTGTTTGGCAATTGAGGTTACAACTATATTTACTTTGATAAAGGATCTTGAAAAGATAAACATAAGATTATTATTTTTATTTATCAATAAACAGAAACAACAGGTTTTTATAAGTATACAGTGCCCCAACATTTTGAAATGTCCTGCATAATTTTATTTGATTATAACATGTATATAATATAATATACTCTTTGACAGATACTTGATGCAATCCATGGATGGGACTATTCAAGAGGCTTCTCTTGCTACCTACAATTAAAATGTTCAAAAATTTAGCAGCAATAAATATATATATATATATATATATATATATATATATATATATATATATATATTAACAAATAGTGTTAAAGTCTTTATCAGCATTAGTTAATTGTCATTAGATTCTATGTCGCTACAAACTTTACGAGAGATATATAAAGGGTGAAACCTGAAAATAAGCATCAAGCTTAGTTTTTAGAGTAGCATATTCTTGTTTCACCCCTTGGAATGCCCTCTTGCACCTGAAATATGTTACACATGCATCTAACTATGTGTTAAAAATTGTCACATAGAATTTATCGATTTAAAATTTTGAATTTGTCACTGCACATGATGAATCGCTAATGTGAATATCCACTAAGATAATAAATGATGACAAAATATTTACCCATCGATATTTCTCTCATTGCAATATTCCTGGAACTGAGAGCACTCTCTTTTCACTCTTTTGGCACCAATGCTGTAGCAAAATTAGTACAAAATATTTACCCATCGATAATTGTGCTTTCACTTGGTAAAATTAGTTTAAGCTATATACACGATTAGAGTAATTTAACTTGTATTTGGAAGTTATTTACATTAATTTTTTAACCAAATTATCTTTTTGAATAATTTAACATGTGTTAAGTCCTTTGAGACTATATAATAAATATATATTTTATTTATTATTTCTTAAGAGGTTATTTTAATTGAAAATAATTTCAAAATAAAATATAAAATTATTTTATCTCACATTTAATTATAAATATTAATTAATTCTAATATATATTTACACTAAAATAATATAATTAACTATTTAAAATTAAAAAGTTAATCTCAAAAAAACATAATAATCACTTAAATATATTTTATCTATCGCATCCCGTAACGAAAACACCCTTATGAGGTGTGCAAAAAAGTAAGTGAAGGGGCCGGTAAGCATGAATGGAGGGAATACTTTTATAAACATGGAAGAGCTTTAGAATATGTGTCAATAACATACAAAAAGAAAGAAGAAAAAAAAGAATATTGGAATATATATGAACTATATATAAAGATTGAGAGGGAAATATTAATATTCATATTCATATTCATGATCAAGTAATGGACAAAAATTGAGAAAACAAATACTCCATCCGTTCACTTTTACTTATCATTTATTCTTAAAATAGATTTTCATTTTTACTTGTCCTTTTTGACATATCATGAAGAAAAGATAATAAAAAATTTTCCATGTTTTACCCTCAGCATTAAATACTTATTCTTCAAATCATTTTTCAAGACATCATTTAATATGGTTAGTTTAGTAAAATATCTATATCAATAATTATTTTCTTAATGAATATGTATGTCAAGATAAAATGTGAAAAGTAAAAGTGAACAGAGGGAGTAACTTTCTAACCACATAAAATATGTCTAACAAACAAGGAAAATGTTTTTCTTTTTCAGGATAAACAAACAACCCAACTTTACTTGCCTTAAAAATTATGCCAAACTGACATACTTTAACGTGCATGTGTTCCTCCTTTATTATAATTTAAATAACGGCAGAACTTAATTGAACGTAAGCATGTTATATTACTAGATATGGGATCCGGTGCGTAGCACGCAGGACCGTCTTAACTCCTAGACCACTAAAGTCATCGCTTGGGACTCCATATTTTTTGGGCCCCCATTTTTAAAAAACAATTACTTCTATATGTTATTTTTTAAAAAATAAAAAATTATATGTACTATGAGTGCTATGATTTCTACTAAGGAAATTGCATATGAGATGAATATAAACCTGAATTTCGTAAGAAACAACTTAATAAAAACATGGATTACAAAACCACAAAGTCCCTTGAAGAATCTTTTAGAATTGATTACTTTATATATGTAGAGTAGATCAAACTATTTTTTCACTTCAAAATAGATTTGAACCAATTGAAGCATATGAAAATATTTTTGATTTCTTGTTTAGCGGTAAAATATTGAGATCACTAGATAATGAGAATTTTAAAAAATGTTGTGTTAACCTTGAACTTTCTTTATCACGTAATAGTTATTCTAATATTGATGATTTAAATTTATTTTTTGAATTAAAAGTATTAAGAGAAATAATACAAGTAGAAGATAGTCATCTAATGAAAATACTCAATCAAATAAAAAGACTAGATTCTTTTCCAAATACACATATTGCTTATAGAATAATGTTAACAGTTCTTGTAACTGTTGCCTCAGCCGGAGGAAGTTTTTCGAAATTAAAATTGATTAAATCTTCTTTAAGATCAACGATGTCTCAAGAGAGATTGAATGAATTAGCTATATTATTATTTGAAAAGAAATTATTAAAACAATTTGATTATAAAATAGTACTTAATGACTTCGCATCTAAAATAGCTAGAAAAGTAGATTTTAAATAAAAATACATATGATGAAAAATAAAATATTAGGGCCCCTCTCTTAAGTTTCGCTTTAGGCCCCTAATGTTGTTGAGTCGGCCCTGGTAGCACGGGCACAATAATATTAATATTCATTTTAATCTTAATTTATGTGATACAAATAAAATTTGAAGAGTCAATCAATTCTTGATATGATTTTTGAATATTTTAAATTATTATGTGACTTATTATACATTTTATGTAATTTCCAACTTTAACTACAAGGCTTGAAGTAGGTAAATCAACATTTACACAAAGAATTAAACAAAATAAAGATCATGCTCAACTATATGCCTTGTTATTAGGGGTGTCTATGGCCGAGTTGGTTTGGGTTTTCAAATATCAAACCAAACCATTTATGTCGGGTTTTTGAATTTATAAACCAAACCAAACCAATAAAATTAGGGTTTTTCAACCTCAGGTTTTTTCGAATTTTCGGGTTTTCCGGTAAAGTATTCATACAAACATATAATTTACTTGTACTTGAAATATTTATTTAGTCCTACCAAAATACAACTATCTAAGGTGTTTCTTAAGAAAATAACACAAAATATGATATGATTGATGACACTAAAATATCCAACAAAAAAATAATAATGAAATCGCGTAAACAAATATTGCAAATTATTAAGTCATAATGAAAATGATCTCATGCTAAAAGAAGTTTAATAAGTAATAGTTACATGACTAAATATTAAAGGAAATTAAATTTAGATTATGTATTTTAATTGCCTAAACCTATGTAAAACTAAAGAACAAATATTCAATATTATTGTCATTCTTAGTGTTGAATTGATTTTCTTTTTGCATTAATATTAATTTGATTTTGATTTAAGCTTTATTATAATTACCAACATCTATGAACTATAATATTTTTTGGACCATTAAGAATTCTAACTTTCAAACATGAAATAATATATTAAAAGATAAAAACTATGAAAAAGTATAAGAAATATTTAAAAATTATATCAAAGTAAATATTTTTACGTATAAAATAAAATTTTTAAATTATATATATATAATGTTGGGTTGGTTTTTTTTAGTTGAAACCAAACCAACCTAAATATAGTTGGGTTTTTTTCCAATACCAAACCAAGTCAAACCAAACCACTAGTCGGGTTTTTTTTTGGTTTGACTCGATTTGCGATTTGATTCGATTTTCGGTTCGATTTTGTACGCCCGACTTGTTATATAAGAGAATATGATATTAAAATAATTAGTTTGATTGTACCTTGAGCTGCTGCCCTTGAATTGGTGCATCAAATCATCCAGCCTACCAAAATCGCAAGGTTCATTTGCCCTACGAACGTACAAAATATGCATTATTATCCACAAAATTCATAATTATTTGCGTTAAACCATTACAAAAACTTTTGATTATTCAAAAAAATAAATCACTCAAAATTTACACAATTATTTCTGATAAAAACATTAGTACTAACGAAAGAAACATCATAACTAGTTGTAATATTATAAAATAAAATGAGAATTGTAATATTACTTACAGAGCAAGATCAACATTACGAATCAATCTAACTGAATCCGTGAAGAAAAGGTTAACAACTTCCTCCACGAAGTTAGGGTTATCATCATCTTGCAGTTCTTCGAGCTCATTAAATTGTTCATCTATATAGTCCTATACACCAATATACGTAGAGTTTCAATCTACAAAATAATCAAATCTCCAAATATATGTTATAATATGAAAGAAAATATATAAGACCTGATGGAAGAGGTTTCTCTTCATGGAGGCAGCTTGGTGTTGCATATTAATTTCAATATACAAACAGAAATTTTCCTTTCTAAAAAAGGGCTATATATGTATATACTATGCTCATGCAAAAGCTATATATATAAATATATAGATGAAGGCATTGGAAAAGGTCATCAAGGACAATATGAGATATTCAAGTTATAAAAGGTGGTCCATATTAATTTGCAATAATTCAATAGGTTTCCTACAACTTTGCATATATATTTTGGGAGAAGGTACAAGTACCCCCTAGACTATAACCGAAATCGCAGAGACACACCTTAACTAAACTAAGGTCCTATTACCCCCTGAACTCATTTTATATATAATATTGTACACCTTTTGGCTTATGTGGCACACCCCGTGACGCCACACAGTTGAGGCGCATGGGATATATTTGGATGCCATGTAAGCCAAAAAGGTGTACAAAATTACAAAAAAAAATGAATTCAGGAGGGTAATATGACCTTAGTTTAGTTAAGGTGTGTTTGAGATTTGGGTCATACTCTAGGGAGGTACTTCTACCTTTTCCCTATATATTTTTGTTCATCATCCTAAATGGAAAGTGGTCCATCAAGAGGGTATGATTCCAATTATAGCATAATAGTAAAGTTTTTTTTTTTAAAAAAAAAAGATACAATTGTCTCATCACAAATATGTGTCTCTATACATGAATATTTGAATGCAAACTCACTAATATAATATTAATAATTTAAGATCGTCTTAAAAGTATATAAATTTCTAATTTTAAATCCGTCTCTAATCATAACAACTATAGTTGGACCACCCCAACTATTTGTAAACTATAAGCCATGCTACCAATTTTTTTTTTTAACTATGAAACACTGTTGGGTTTAAGCAAGGTGTAAAGGAGAAATAAGAATGAATGATAAATTGGGAAACGTGAAGGAACCAATTTGGAGGGAAAATGAAGAGTAATTTCTCTCATATTGGTAGAAGAAAGGGAAACAATTTGTCCTTATATTAGGAAACACTTACTTTAGCTCTTAAAGGGTTAAGTAGAAAGTGCCCCCTCGCGCCGCGTCATTGCTCGCTCGGCCTCGGCCTCAGCATGTGATTGATTGATAATTTGTTTAGGCAATATTTATTTAATCAATCTCATTAATTAATTTCCTTGTTTCTTAAAATTATTTCAAAATGTTAATTAATTAATTAATTAAAGGAATTAATTTCACATAAAAAAATTATTTGAAAATTCGCCTAAAGGTAAAGTCTCTCAAAAGGGACATGTTCCTTTCGAACAGACACTTCTTTTCCCAAAAGACACAAACGTTCTGAATAGGCGTGTTCACACTTGTTGCTCACACTTTCTGCAGTTGGCTATAAATATATACTTCTTTCATTTTTCAAACACTGAAAAATTTCTCTCTTCTGCATACATTTTCTTACAAATAAAATTTTCGATCAACTGGGTTTGTGTGTGTGCTCTCGTTGCTGATTTTTGAGTTCGCTGAAATTATTGAAGTTAGAGGAACCACTACTTCTTTAATAGTTAATTCATTTTATCTTAGGAGGAATTAATCTACAACCTTGAGTACTTTAGGGGATTAAATTTCTTAAGGATACATAGTAGGTTATGTGGATTCGAATTGTTTAGTTTATGTCTTTCTATTTCATCTTTTATGTTTCTATTTTTACTAGCCTGAATACAAGAGATAACAAGCTTAAGAAATTTAATATATATTTGTTTCTGTATTTGAGATTTCTGAAGATTAAAATATTTTTGGTTTTCCACTCTGTTTGAATTTAAGATTCATTCGATTAACGATTAGATGAATATAAGAACTTTATCATTAAATCAGAAACATGTTCTATAAAAATTTATTCTTTCATATACTAAATTGACTGAAAATGACTAATTCAAGTCAAGTTAATGTTAGAACAATGAGTGTTGCAACAACATCGGTTGCACCGAAATCGTTCAATTGTTGTTCTTGCCCCAGTTGAGAAACCTGCAAAGTTTTCTGGAGTCAATTTCAAGAGATGACAGCAAAAGATGTTCTTCTATATGACTACGTTGAGTTTGCAAAGGTTCATTGGTGAGAACATTCCTATTCTGTCGGATGAAACTATAGATGGAGATGGAAGGAATCAAATTTTTTGTGCAAAAATTATACTCTGAGTGGCCGGCAAGATGATTTGTACAATGTGTACAATAATATGAATACCTCAAAAGAACTCTGAGATGCTTTCGAAAAGAAGTACAAAACAGAGCGTGTCATAATGAAGAAGTTCATTATGGCAAAGTTTCTGGACTATAAGATGATAGACAGTAAGACTGTTGTCACCCAAGTTTAGGAGTTGTAAGTCATAATCCATGATCTCTTTGCCGAATATATAATTTTGTATGATACCTATGTTGAACAACCTTTGTTGTGATTTAAACCTTAAATATTATAGTTCTACATCAACTTTATTAGTCACTAGTGTCACAATCCAGGGGTACCCCTAGATGTAACAAGGCATACAAGACTCTGAAAGGCCTCATACAAGCCCCGTAGCATATCATAACATAAGATAATAGTAAATGGTGCGAAAATTTAAAATATTTTCAACAATATTAAAGTCTATTATAAAACGAAACAGAAGTCTTTAACATTTGTCTCAAACCATCTAATACTTGAATAGTCTTAGGGACACATCTCATACAATAGTTCTAAAACATAAAAGAAAAGACATAAAAGGAAAGGTGATCAAGTCCCCGATGCTATGAGGACTCACCAAATCTTCACTCCTTGCTCTACTAAGATTCTAGCCACGAAGATGGAAGTCAATATCGCCGGACCCTACATTTGATAAGAATGTAGGCAAAAGTATGTGTTAGTACAATAATGTACTAAATATGATGGCTAGCATAAATCATCAACTTATAAGCATAGCATAGGCATTAGTCAACATAAGACATATACCATAATCATAAGAGATAACAACATAAATAATAAGCATATTCAATCCTCATATCATAAGAGGAACACTTCTCAAGTAACCTCAATTTATTCTTACTCAATACATAGGTCATCACCTCTAGTCATACATGTCAAGGAAAGCAACTCAATTAACAATACAAGCTAAGCTATCATCATACAATCAATCTCATATAGAAACATACTTACAATACCTCCTTGAAAAAAGCTTGTTTCATCATAACTATGCTACTTTGATTAGGGACTTGTCTCTCTTTAGTCATTCTTACTAATCATGGAAGAGTATCTCTCTACTAGTCCACTACACATCATTACTCATGAATGGTTACGATTTACCATTTCAAGGCTATCAAGGAAAATCACCTTACTATGCTAACCAAGCTATCATGGAAAGCATCCTCTCATGCATGTCCAAGCTACTCAAGAAAGGGTACTATTTCTCAATCCAAGCTATCATGAAGTGGTGTGGCCTCACCAAGTCAAGCTATCATGCAAGCATTCTATTATGCTAGTTCAAGCCACATTGGAAGGGTACGATTGCTCAATCTAAGGCTATCCATGAGTTTTACTATCTCAATCTACCATGCATGGTCTTGTCTTACCAAGTCAAGCTATTCATGAAGAGGTATCATATCACTACTTCAAGCTAACATAGTTCATACATGCTTTGATTCATTTTAGGTGAGCAAGCCTTTCAACCTAGAATCATTCTATGTGAGAAAACATTTCACATTAATGTTTGTGTTCATGTGGGTAAACCTTCCACAACAATTCTATCTATTATCAACATTCATCATATAGCTTCCCTCTCAAAGCCTTACTAGTCTTAACTCATCATGTTAGATTTACTCTCAAGCCCTACTAATCATAATTCATTATACATACTTGATCTTGATCAATTCATGTCTATAAGCTTTACTCTTAAGCAATTTATGTCTATGTCCTTCCATCTCAAGCAATTATCTATAATGTAATTCATCAATCCTAGAAAATCACATCTAAGCCTCAATTTCCCCTCTCATGGCATAAAACCCAACTACATCAAATTCACTCTAGAACCATAGGTTAAGCATGGTTACATGTATAATCATACTAAAAACATGCAATTTCATCATAAACAATCATAATCCACTCTATTGAATCATAACCAATAACATTAGAAAAAATCCTAGTTTGACATGGAAAATTCTTCTTCTAAATTTTGGAAAACATGGGGGTTTCATGGAAATAACCATCATACCTTGATTACAAAGCCCACAAAGCTTGGAAGATTGGAGACTTGACTTGACCTAGCTTGAATCCTCTTCTTCTTCTTCTTCTTCTTCTTCTTCTTCTTCTTCAACTTTCTAGAAAGAAAATTATTTGAGAGAGGAATCCAATTCTTTTGGTGAGTTTGAGAGAATGACTTAAATGACTTAATTTAGGGGTCTAAAGTACTTATATAGGTGGTTTAGACTAGGGTAAAATGACACCACTTAAATCCAATCAAATCCGAAAAGGACCCTTATGTCCTCAACTTAGCCGTCCAGTAACCAACCAGAGACCATGTTAACGGGCCATGAATGGGCATACGGTCTGTCCTGGTCAAGCGTGGTTTGGTTTGGTCAACCACGAAACCCCCTTGCCACGGGTCGTGGGTCCTAGCGTGGCTACTGCCTTAGGCAATTTTCCATCGAGGCTCCCTACGGAGCATGGGTCCCACCTGTAAATTCTAAAAATTGCTAAGCCGTCCCTCTTCCGATACGGGGTGTTACAACTAGATTATACTCTTTGATATTATTTTTACAGACTATATTCAAATATATTACTTACTTGATTTAACTAGAAAGCAGAGAAGAGGACACTTTTAGTTTGTGGTTTTACTATGAGGCTCTTTATGATACACTTCTTCTATTTGAAAGGGGCGGTGAATATACCATGCTAATGCAAAAAAATTGTTGTATCTATCGTCAGAATTTTATATAATATTATTTTTATGTAATAACATTTTATTATAATAATTCATATTTTTTATAATAACTTTTTACTTATAATGGCAATAATCGTCTTTATAACAGTACATTTTTTAAT